ACTGCCGCAGCACCTCAAGGACAAGCTCTGGTCTGCTGCGCTTGGACACTCTGCATGGGTGTACAACCTTCTTCCGCACTCCCAACTGGGCATGTCACCGTACCAGGCTCTCTTCGCCAAGCCTTCGCCACTGCAGCACGTGCGCGTCTTCGGCTGCAAGGCGTTCGTGTATGACCACGTCCACACGGACAAGAGCAAGGCCTTTCCCCGACGGGCCATGGAAGGCTTCTATGTTGGCTTCGACACGCGATGCAACGCGCATCGCATCTACGTCAAGGCAACTGGGCGAGTGAGGTCCTCCATCCACGTTGACTTCCTGGAAGAGGTTGACTGCACGAGTCAAGGGGGTGCTTTACCGACATCACCACTCACAGGCAGCAACGGCACCAGCACTGTGCAGAACCTATGGGTGATGCCAGCAGCAACAGCATCCACACCTGACCCCATGCGGCAGGGCGACGAGAACACACCTGACCCCATGCGGCAGGGCGACGAGAACACACCTGACCCCATGCGGCAGGGCGACAGCGGCGGCGCACAAACATCTGCACCACTCGCGCAATCAGTACCCACGGCACAGCAGAAGACAAGCTGTGCCGTCAACAGCAAGCATCCTGACTCGTCAACGGCAGACGACGGCAGTGATGACGATGGCGATGGCGATCACAGCGACGACAGTGATCACAGCGACGACAGTGACGTCTGCCTGCGGACTACCCTGTTGCCTGCGGACTACCCTGTTGAAGAATGCCATGGTACAGACGCACCAGCCACCGCAGCAGCCGGTCCCCAAGACATGGCGGGACGCCATGGCCTCTGCACACAAGAGCAAGTGGCAGGAGGCCTTCGTCAAGGAGTGGAGCAACATGATTCGGCACGACGTCTTCGACATCGTTGACCAGCGCACTCTTCCCATGGGCGTGCGACCAATACCGTCCAAGCTCGTCTTTGCTGTGAAACACAAACCGGACGGCAGTATTGTCCACAAAGTCCGGTTTGTTTGCTGCGGCAACCGGCAGACGGAGGACACATACGCAGATGTATTTTCGCCCACGACACGCTTCGAGGCTCTGCGCACCTTTCTCGCTGCTACAGCCCAGCGACACATGCTGCTGTGCCAGTTCGATGTGTTCTGCGGCTTTTTCTCCATGCCGAGCTCGACATGGCAAACGTGTTT